AAGTCATCAAGACACAGGAGTTGTCCCCTCTTCTTTATGTGATCGCCAGAAACCCAAAAGGGCAGCGATTATCCTGGAATTTTTTAAGAGAAAATTGGACCCATCTCCTAAAAAAGTTGGTATTCATTTACATCCAGTGTATGTTCTTCTACCTAGATGGCTCAGTTGCCTGAAACCAAGTACAATGATGTGTCCCCCAAAGCATATAAATGATGCTATTTCTACCCAAATAGTTTGATGAACTCTATTTGTTTGAAAACTTAAGAGCCTGAATTACTCTGTCCAGGTGTGAGGAGAGGAGTGAGAAGTGAGTGGGAAAGAGATTTCTCTCACTCAGTCCAGGCAAAGAAGAACTGCTGGGAGTGTGAGATGAGTTAAATCCAGTCATCAGCCCCATCCACCAGCCCAGAAGAATCCAGGGAAGCCATATATAGTGCATGAAAGACATTTGGCTTGCTTTGTTAATGGACAGCTTCAGAAATTTTGATGAGAGCTAATCCCCCACCCTCAGTTCCCCTGTGGAAATGGCCCAGTGGAGAGCTCAGAGGAGATGAAAGATATCTGATCAGGAGTGTTTTGGGAGTCCCACGCCCCGCCCCTTCAAACTGTGATCAGTTCTGAGTCTTTTCTGGGGTTTCAACTCTTGGGAGAACCAGAGCTCACTCCAGCATGCTCCTGGGCCTAAAATATCCCCCATAAAGGACCAGTAATGATTAGACTTCATTGGAAGGTACAGGATGGCATTGCTTTCTCTCACAACAAATCCCTGCTAAGGTGCTCAGCTATTCCTTATCCAAAACCAAAATGTCACTTATGAACTCTCTGAAAAATATCCTCAATCTGAGAGCTGTGCAGTCTGCTCTGTTTATCTTAGTGTCAGTTTGTATCTTTGATTTCAGTCATTCCCTGTTTCTCTTCCCTCTCATTTGTTAGCCATGAAGGACTCAGAGTCCCCACAGCTTTGTGTAAGCAAAAAGAGCATTCTCACCTCTCTCCCAGGCTTTTAAGGGGTTTGACATTCACATGGGACCAGTTAGAAACTGCTTAAAAATATATGTATATGTATATGTGTGTGTGTGTGTGTGTGTGTGTGTATAATGTGTGTGTGTGTGTGCATATGTGTGTGTGTGTTTCCTTAAAGATCACTGGTATCATTGGTTGGGTCATTTGCATGACTATCAGTTCCCTCCCCTGAAATGATCAGACTTTTTCTTCAATGCCATAGATTTCCTTTGTCACTGGAAATGATCCTCCTTACTGACCATGTGTACAGCCTGGACTTGGAATCATTTCTGGGATTTATCTGTGCTCTGCTTTTCAGCACGAATCCCTTTGACTTATGGTATAAATTCTCTATATAAGACACTGGGGTGAAGGATGTGCTCTATGGCTGCAAATGAAGAGGTCAACTAAATAACATTGCCCCCCACAAAATTCAGGGTATAAATGCAGTGGATCTCCAAAATGGGATGGGGAAGTGTGCAAGACAGTACATGAGAGTGCAAGGAGAACATATTACTACATATATTAGTTTTTATGCTATTACATTTTCTGTTGAACCTATAACATACTACATCCATATAATACATAAACAGAAATATGTATATTTGGGAAGTTCTTGAGCAAAAAATCTTTACCAATGGAGTGTATAATAAAAAAAAAAAACGTAGAGAATGCTGCTTTGAGCGTAAACATAAATTTAAACATAAACACTGCCGAATAAGCTAGTCACAGTTCCTAAAAAGGCTTTGTCTACATTTTTATCTTGTGGTCAAACATGATACATTTTATAGCTTTGGGGTTTTACTGGATGAATAAGTTATTCTTAGGGTAATTAATAGAATATATTTTAATGCACAAGCTTATCATATAGTTATTAATGTCATATATTTTAAAAACATATGGTATCATAAAGATAAGGCCGGTATTCCTATTACTTAAATCTGTGGGTTTCCTTTTCATTTTCAGGTTTGACTTGGGCTCATATGCCATGAGAATGATCATCTCTGGCACAACATCTCACTTCTCTTCCAAGGATGAGTTGCAAGAGGTCTGTGACTCTCTACTGCTAACAAATGAAAAATAAATGTTCAAGTCATAAAACTGAAAGTGAACTTAGATGTAATCTGGTTTAAAGTTCTCATTGATTAAGAGAAAATAGGTAGTTTGTCCAATGTTACATAGCAAGTAAATGGAAGGGACAGGACCAGAACTTCTTAAAATACAGGTGTTCATAGCATTCAACATGAAAATTACCCTTGAGAGATGAGTCTTTGCTTATTATTTCCTTCATAGTGTATCATCACAGAAGTGACTATATTGAAGGTTGGAAGGGTACTTAAAGGTCTTTTTAAACAAAACTACTATTGTTGGTAATTCTACTGTTTTTTTTAAAAAGCATTCTAATGTTTTACATCTTCTTTCCAAAATAAATCTTGAATTACTTACCCTTTTAGGAAACTCAGAATTCTAGAACTTAAATCCTGGCTCACTACTTCCTGTATGGCTTGGCTTGATCATTTAACATTTTTACCCACAGTGGGCTCACTTATAAGATGAGGATTTATCATTCCTGTCTTACATTGTTTGAAGATAAAGTGAAATAATAATTATTAAAAAAAGAGAAGAAAATAACCACTTAAAGGTTGGCAGAGAAATTATTACTCTGGTGTTTGTATAATTTGCAAGCTGTTTTGAAACCCTTTGCAAGAGCAAGTATTTTATGAACCAAGTCAGTAATATTTTTCTTGCTTATTTTTCAGGTGAAACTGTTCTTTGAATCCCTTAAGGCCCAAGGATTACATCTGGATATTTTTCAAATTATTTTGGAAACTATATCCAAAAATATTAAGTGGCTGGAGAAGAATCTTCCCACTCTGAGGACTTGGCTACTGGTTAATTCTTAAATGGTCAGTAGAAAGAGCACATCCCATGTGAGCATGAAGTCAATAAAGCTCAAGTAAAAGTCCTGGATATTTTGGCCAAACCACTAAGAAGCCTCAAGGAACCAGCCACCGCAGCTGCCTGCTCTCAGCTGTTGTCTCTCTAGCTGACAGATATATGATGTTGAGGTGGGGGAAGTCCAGTTCAGTAGCCTATTTAAATGTAAACTTCCTGAATAATGGAGATATGTGGAGATGTGAATGTAGGTATATAGACAGAGCTGTAATAGATTAGCCACATTGTACACTCTCTACATGGCCTTACAGCATGCTACTTTTTTGCTTTTTTGATGCTTTTTTCTAACCTTGCTTATTATCCTGGAGTTTGCCCAGCCAGTTTTACCTTCAAGGAAACATAGCCAATTCTTTTAAAAAAATCTTTCATTTGCATCCTTTCATCTCCTCCCTTTCTTCTTCTTTCATCTCAGCCTAAATAGTTCATTTAATTTTTACCATTCATGGAAAATCGGAATCAAATTATGAAGTATAAGGTTCAGGAAAACAGAATTTTTCACCAAATCTCAGATTATTATAAACTTGGTGTCAGGGTTTACCCACAAAGCCAGGAGGGCTGCTTCACTTGAGCCTCACATTCATTAAGAGCCTCAAGGATAGTCTTCTGAGGTCATCTCCACAGGCAGTAAAATCTGCAGGCACAGAGGTAGAGGAGAGAATGATGATACCTCACTACTTTAAACTGTACACTATTGCATTTTTAATACATCTTTTGAAAATTGCAAAATCAGATTATATTGTGTATATTTCTGGTTAACTCATGGCTAATGTAAATATTTAAATGAATCATCATATTTTATAACCCAGTTTTAGCATTTCTTCATATTTTTTAGGGAACCTCCTGATCTCTGAAACATTTTTCTAGATGCTTCTCTTACTTGTTTTCTTAATAAGGTATTTGGAATGAATAAAGAAACCACCACTCTTAAATATCAGGCTGTAAATTTAATAAATTCATGTGCTCACATATGAATCAGTATGAAGATATGAACATGTTCTAGAAAAGTTTGAATCAGTACACAGCTGATTAACCTATGTAGGCTATTAAGGGAAGCTGGGATATTGGGGCAGGGGCAAAGTGGGCAGGGTGCTAACCAATCCATTTTGGAGTGATATCTTGAAGGTTTACAGATCTTTCTCTGGTGACACAGTCAGAGACAGGGTACAGTTTGGATGGACCATGGACCTGACCTAATACACATTTTGTTAAGTTTGTTTTCAAATCATTTCTTGGAATCTTTGAAGCATCTATGACTCTAGATTTGCCTCGGTTGTGGTCTTACCAAGGTCTGTGTAACACGTGATATCCCTCTGGAATTATATGTACTTTCAAATAAAGAAACTGAAAGAGCAAAGAATGTTATTTTTTCCACCAAGATAATGTGTAATTTAAGCAGAAGAATGTGTGTGAGTTTTGGAAGCTCTGTGCTGTCATATTTATTTCCATAAATAAGTAAAGTTCTTTCTTTTGTATAATAAGTTATCTACCATAAATTTCCAAGTTTTTGATTCTCTTCCTTTTAGTTCTTTATGAATATACATTTGTAACTTCTCAGATTCTTAAGAATTGAGTACAGAAGTAGCAGTAGTGGAAGTAGCAGTTTTATCATTTGTTGAAAATGAACACGATAATTACTGTGCCAATAATGGTTTAATAAGGAGTTTTTTTCTTTTTATAAAGAAATCTATTATACTTAGTGTGGTATTTCAAAACCTTTATGGTAGATGCCAAACCCCCAGTACCAACTAAAGACTCTGCAAAAGTTAGTTTTACTTCCTTTTCCCCAAATGAACAAACAAGTTGTGAAATACTTATATACAAGATCATGAACAGATGATGGAGGGAGCAGACACGGCTCTGCGCCTGCTGAATTCCCACAGAGCCTTGGGCGAATTTTGTGGTCTCCAAAGCCCACTCAAAATGAGAAATCTTCCAGATCAAAGGAGCCTAAAACCAATGTCTTGCTCCCTTTTAGGCTCTGTGTCGGGGAGATTGGGGACTTCAGCCCTCAAGAGTCCAACTTTATCACCATGGTAGGAATTTCTTGTCCTACTTCATGTATATCCTTGTGCATTTCATTCCTGGCTGTGTCATGAGGTCTATTTGAAGTTCCACAGAATCAAATAATCAGAGATCCTGATTTTCGGAGGGATGTTCCTGGGGGTTTTTTGTTTTGTTTTGTTTTGGGGGGCTTACTCCATCCTAACTGTAAGGGGGACCTCCAAATAATCCCGGAGGTTAGTTTTCCAATTTAACATTGATATCTACCAAACACAAGGTTGTTTAAAATGGCCACATTTTTACTCTGCAACATCGTTTTACTTATATTCGTTATTGATCTCCTTTCTTCCATTTAACCATGAGTCACTATTTTTCATTTCAGCATGTAAGGGTTTACAACCTTTACGTTTACAGGCTTTACATCATCTATCTGTTATAGTGTCTGCTCCCTGAAAACTTAATCTCATTCATCAAAGTCATGTCTCCAAATCCTAAGGAAGAAAGGGCGAAAAATATTATGAAAAGTGGGTTAGCTGGGTTGAAACATGTGTGTGTTTTATGTAATCTAATATTTTAATAGATAGTTCTGATTATCTTCTTGAAAGGGGGTGTTAAATTATTTTCTTTTTTTTAAGATTTATTTATTTATTTATTAAAGATTTATTTATTTATTTATTTGAGAGAGAGAATGAGATAGAGAGAGAGAGCATGAGACAGGGGAGGGTCAGAGGGAGAAGCAGACTCCCCGCTGATCAGGGAGCCCGATGTGGGACTCGATCCCGGGACTCCAGGATCATGACCTGAGCCAAAGGCAGTTGCTCAACCAACTGAGCCACCCAGGTGCCCTAAAGATTTATTTATTTTGAGAGTGAGAGAAAGGGAGAGCGAGTGAGCATGGGTGCGCACACAAGAGCAAGCAGGGGGAGGGGCAGAGGGAGAGGGAGAAAGAATCTCAAGTAGACTCCTCCCTGAGCACAGGGCCCAGGCTGGGGCTTGATCCCATGACTCTGAGATCATGAACTGAACTGAAACCAAGAGTTGAATTCCTAACCTACTGAGCCGCCTAGGCTCCACTAATTCATTTTCTCTTTACACCTGTATCCTGTGCTTGTTAGTACCAAAGGTTAATCTTTTATATCCAGTAACACTTTCCCTGGTAAAGTACAGCTTCCCCAGATATTTACATAGATGTACCACTGGTTTCTTCTGATTGATATTTGCTTGATGTATTTTTCTGTATCCTTTTACTTTGAATTTGTCTGTACTTAGCTTCAGATGAGTCTTTTGTAAACAGGGCTGTACCTGAATTTTGTTTGCTATTATGTTTCCCAACTTGGGCAAGTTCAGGCTCTCCCATCTGTCCCTTCTTTGCTCCAAGGCAAAACAAAACAAAAACAAAAACAAAACGCCCTCAAGGTGAACACTGACTTCAGCCTTCTGCTTACCCCTCAGGGTTCCTGCCTTCAATTAGTTTTTGATCCATGACTATTTCTTACTAGCTTTCCAGGTCACCAATATATTCAAACAATTAAAAAAAATTTTTTTAATCCTACATTTTTAATTATTCTTATCAAGAAGGTCAGTCAAGGTACCTAGTCTACCATATTCCCAGAAGCTACAATGATTTATTTTCAACAATGTGCAAATGCCCAACACTTTTACATAAGAGGCTCCTTAGGATGGAAATTGGTTTGCAGAATTGACTGCGTAGTATCGATTTCTCATAAATAATGTTGTGGGATGCCTAATATTGTATCAGGAAGTTAGCAGAATTAACAGATCATTTTTTTCAGGATTTAAATCAGGAAAAATTTCCAATATTCATAGGGAGAAATGGCTAGGAAGTCTCAGAAATGTAGACTTAACTGACAGGGTGAAAAGAATTTCTATGTCTCAATCACTTCCGCAAACTTTACTTTGCAACCATAACTTCAAGACCTTTTGCTTATTTTGTTCTCTTTTCTCCAAAAGTTTTCATCTTCTACCATGTTCCCAGATAAAGCCAGGAAACCAGTTTTCTATTCTCAGTACATGATTAATTAATTCTCACCTTTAGGTATTTACACATATGATTTCCCACACTTCAAAGTTCATGCCTCCCTCTGTTGAATTATGCCATATTTCTTTCTTTCAATACATCATTTCAGGTTCATATTTCTGTAAGGAATTCACACGTTGAATGTCCCTGTAATCATCCAAACAATACTTCAGTTATAATTACAAACCCCATTTTAAGGTAGACAGAGTAAATTGTCTATGAAAAGACTTAAGGGATACAAAGGACATTATTTCTTGGTTTTAAAACTATATTCCTCATTAAAAACTGTTCTCTAGTAAACTGAGCTTGGAAATTCTCATTTCTAATTATTTTGGGTTTGAGCTGGGAAAAGGATAGGTTGAACACCCTAAACACTCAAATATGGCAAGAGGCTGGGATGGGGGTTGGAGAACTTTTTCTGAAACAGAAACAATTGTTTCTGAAACAGAAACAATTGTCTTCATGGCCCAAGGCGATTAGCATATACTTTTATTTTCTTTCTGTTCATGCCTCCAGATATGGGCCCAAAGACGAGTAGTAGGAATTATAGAAGGATAAACAAGAGTTTTTTCAGCTGGTAAGGGGTAAACAGGTCGAGACTCAAGCTGATAAAGATCAAAGACAAGATCTGGTCTGAAACAACTATGCACAATTCATGTGAACCAGACAGAGCCCTCGGGAGTCAGACTGCGCAAGTTAATTCAACTCACCTCAAGGACTCAATTAGGGTCACTTAAGCAACAATGAATAAGTTGTTGGTTAATGAGAGAGGTCGTATAGCATTTAAAGTTTTGCGTTTGTTTATTCTTACTCTAACTTGCACCTTATCTATAGGCAGCAGTTATGACACTACTGATCAAAGCACTATTTTACTTTCATTTTATTTTATTCTTTTCAAAGCATTGTTTTAAAAATAATATTTTATATCCTAGAAAAACAATTACGTGGTAGAAGAAGAATATTATTCTCCTAGTTTCAGGTAACTGTTTCTCTGGGCAGCCTAGCTGTTTGGATTTTAAGGTCAAGGGGAATATACATACAATTGTCTCCTCCATCTCACTGAGGACCTAGATAGAAATAACACCTGCAGTGTTGGCCTTGGCCTTGCATGTCCAGATCTAAAAAATGGTATCTAAAAAAAGGAAACCTCATAGAGGTTTTTTTTTTTTTCAAAATACATCTTCTCTTATCCAGTTCCCTTTTCTTCTGTAATTTCACCATTACAGATTCATTCCTCTGGGCTAATAAAAGTTATTCAATTGTAACTCATTAGTCATGCTTTAGTGAGACTTTTAAATTTTGTTTAAATGAATACTTAGTTCTTTATAGCTAGCTGAGAAAAAAGCCCTAAGGGGAGAGAGAAATCTGAAACTGGGAGAGCGGATTGGGGTGGGTGGGTTCTGGAACAAGGGCAACACTCCAAAAAATACTTGTTTGGTAGGAAGCTCTGGAAGGCTTATATCCGTCACTTACTCAAGGGTGTTATGTACAGGTGGTATTTGATAAATATTTGTTGACTGTGTGAAGCAGCATCTAGAATTAGAGGAAGGAAAATGGAAAATGGGACCTAGCAGAACTCAGAGGCCCCTACTTGTCAATTTTGCCCCAGGCTGGTCCTGCTAGTACATATGTATATTTCTGTGTCCTGTGTTGCGCATTATGCATATATCCTGGGTGCTTGCCGAGACTGGCCCAAAGTATTGCAAGCACCTTAAAAGCAAAACTGTAGCTCTTCTCTTTGGCGTTCTGTGCACCATAGGCACCCCACAAATGTTGCTGACTGACTGACAACCTGTGCTGGCAGTTATCAGCTAGAAGGAGGAAAAGAGCATCTGAGTCATCCCAGAGTCAGCCAAGAATCACAGTCAAGTGTAATTTTCTGCATAAATATTACAGTACCTTCTCATGCTCAAAAACAAACAAAAACCTGAAGGACACATTTAATGGGAAGGAATCTTAGACAGGCTCTGTGTTAGCAAGGCTGCTAGAAATAAAGGAGAAGGAAAACTGAATCAGAATCTTCAGGAGTGTAAACATCTCCCTCAAAAGAGCAGGTCAATCAAAAATTCCAGCTAGAGATAATTTCTAAAAATATCATTTATATCTTCTGACTTTTATAGAAGAGGACCTATGATTGGTTTTCATAGCTGGAATCAAGGCTATGAAAACCATCCCTGACACTTCCTAGCTTGGCTGGGCCCCAAATGATGCAGGGTTTAGATAGCAATATCAAGAACTCGGTTTCTGCAGAACATCATTATTTTAAATGATCAGGTTGGAATATATCAGCATCAAATAAATTTGTTGCTCTCACATTATGCTTTGCACGTCTAAGCTTTTTTTTTTTTTGCATGCAATATACATGGTATTAAAATTTCATAGTTCACAACTAATAGTAATAGCAAATACATCCTTAGCGCTTATTTTCTGCCAGTCTCTGTTCAAAGCACATTTGGTGTGTTAATTCATCTTATTCTTACAATAACCCTAAGAGGGTGGTACTTGTCTCCTCGGTTTACAAAGGAGAAAATGAAGCCCAGGGAGATTAAGCAAATTGCCCCAGTCACAGAGGCAATGGGTTTTAGGACATTTACAGAGTGCGTCTATCAACATGGTTGATCTTGGCGCCTGGGTGGCTCAGTTGGTTAAGCGACTGCCTTCAGCTCAGGTCATGATCCTGGAGTCCCTGAATCGAGTCCCACATCGGGGTCCCTGCTCAGCAGGGAGTCTGCTACTCCCTCTGACCCTCCCCCCCTCATGTGCTTTCTCTCTCTTTCTCTCTCTCAAATAAATAAATAAAATCTTAAAAAAAAAACATGGTTGATCTTAGAATATTTTTATCACCCCAAAAAGAAGCCCCCATACCTATGGGGCAGTGGCTTCCCACTCCTCTCTCCCTACCATCTTTGGCAACCATTAATCCACTTTCTCTATCATTTTGCTAGTCTGAACTTTTCATACAAGTGGAATAATACAATATATGGTCTTCTGTAACTGACTTCTTTGATGAACATTTGTGTTGTTTATACTTTTTGGCTATTATGAATAATGCTGCTATGAACATTCCTGTACAAGTTTTTGTATAGACATAGATTTTCAATTATTTTGGCTATACAGCTAGGAGTGGAATTGCTGGATCATTTGTTAACTCTACGTTTAGCTTTTTGAGGAACTGCCAGATTATTTTCCCACACAACTGTACCATTTTATATTCCCACCACAGTATAGGAAGTTTCCAATTTCTCTAGATCTTCACCAACATTTATTATGTCTACCTTTTTGACTCAAGCCATCCTAAGCCTGAGCCTAGCCATACTGTGAAGTGGCTTCTCATTGTGGTTTTGATTTGCATTTGCTTTGTGGCTAATAATATGGACCATCTTTTTTTTTTTTTAAGATTTTATTTATTTATTTGAAAGAGAGAGACACAGCGAGAGAGGGAACACAAGCAGGGCAAGTGGGAGAGGGAGAAGCAGACTTCCCGCTGAGCAGGGAGCCCGATGTGGGGCTCCATCCCAGCACCCTGGGATCATGACCTGAGCCGAAGGCAGATGCTTAACAAGTGAGCCACCCAGGCGCCCCGATATGGACCATATTTTTGTGTGTTTATTGGTCATGTGTATGTCTTCTTTGGAGAAATGTCTATTCATATCTTTTGCTCATTTTTAATTGATTTGTCTTTTATTATTGAGTTGTAAGAGTTCTTTATATATTCCAGATATAAGTTCCTTGTGAGATATATGACTTGCAGATATTTTCTCCCATTCTGTGGGTTGTCTTTTTACTTCTTGATGCTATCCTTTGAAGTCACATCTTTCTTGATACTTTATTTCTTTCTTCAACTTTATTTCTGTTAGAAAGATGCTGTTAACAATGAGTTGAATAGTGCATCGCCCCCAACCAAAATTCACATGTTGAAGTCATAACCCTCATTACCTCAGAATGTTACTTCACTGGAAATAAGGTCATTGCAGATGTAACTAGTTAAGATGAGATCATACTGGAGAAGGGTGGACCCCTGATCCAACATGACTAGTTCCCTTATTAAAAGAGAAAATAGGGACATAAGTGTGCACACAGGGACAATGCCATCTGAAGACTGGAGTTATACTGCCACCAGCCAAGGAAGCTAGGATAGAGGCCTGGAACATACCTTTCCCTGTTGCGTCAGAGAGAACATGGCCCTGCTGACTCCTTGATCTTGGGCTTCTAGCCTCCAGAACTATGAGGCAATAAATTCCTATTGTTTAAGCTACCTAGATTGTGGCAATTTTCATAGCAGCCTTTGCAAACTAATATAAATGCCTAATTCATTTTTCCATTTTAGTAGTTACTTCCAGATCAGAATTTGAAGTTTAATAATATACCCCATTTCTTGGTTTGGAATCCTGATTCCATTGATCAATTACGTGAAAAATTACATTGAACTGGGCTCTATCTTTACTTTTCTTGTGACAAGTACCTTAGGGTTTAAAGAAATCATTATCAAAATATTATTAAAATATATCAGTGTTGGGACACCTGGGTGGCTCAGTCAGTTGATTGAGCATCTGCCTTCGGCTCAGATCATGATCCCAGGGGCCTGGGATGAATCCCACATTGGGCTCCCTGCTCAGCGGGGAGCCCGCTCCTGCCGCACCCCCTGCTTGTACTTTCTCTCTCTCTGTCTCTCTCTATCATGCGTGCAAATGAATAAATAAAATCTTTATATATATATTATATATTATTTATCTATCAGTGTTTATAACCTTCAGTGGACATTTAGGTTGCCTATTTGACATTTTGGTTGCTTAACCCTCTCATTTTCCCTTCTGAATAATAAAAATGATTTTACCCAAGTTCCTCCCATCTCCCCCTATGAAACAGGGAAGTGATACTGAACTCAGCATTCCTAAACTCTGCTTTAAGAAACCACTCATAGTAACCCTGTTTTTATTTCCAGTGATTGGTTTAGAAATGTACAAAATTCAGGTTTGGCAATTGAAACCAAAGAAGAATTCTAATGGGGGAATTTTTGAGAAAAGTTTCCTTGCTCTTGAGAAAGAGACACCAAAGAAAAAGTTTCTTCTCCTTCTGTAATGCAGCCTCCTTTCTGTCCACAGGATGCTCAGTCTTCTGGAAAATTGCTCACAGAGCGGACAGAGTAAGAAGCAGGGTTCTTGGTAAGGGTGGGAGCTGTGACTAGAGACTGTCTTATCTTTGCACTTACATGAGATGATAAATTTCCTTAATATTTATACTAATTTGATTCAGCGTTTTGGTTTCTGTAGGCCAAAGCATCTGAACTACTATATAACATTTCCTTTCTAATAACCTTTCAGTTTATTTAGCTGAATCTTTTTGCTAATGTCTAAGCTCTACAGGAATGCTGTTGGATAATTATATTGCTTTCCTTAGTGCTCTAAATGTTTCTTGATTTGTGATGGCTTCAAACATCACTAATTGATGCAGAGCATGTGTGCCGCAAATAGGTTACAGGTGTAATGAGATAGTGACTCTGGTCCTTAGGGTGACTGGGTAGAGTCTGGAGTAGCTGGAAACCTCATGGTGGTCATCTTTGTCCTGGAAGCAAGCAGCATCCTCCATTTATTCAAGAGCGCTGAATACATATCATTTTCCGATGTGTACACTGAATTAATGTATTGTTTAGCTTATTTCAAAAAAATTAGAAAAGATATTTAATAACGCTAAACTTAAAGTTCACATGGAATATCAGTAAATTAAATTGGAACATCAATTAAATAATTAATGGAACAGTCTTCTAGTAGCCTGAAGTTAGTTCTACTTCTTTTTACTCCATATCCCTTTTGTGTATTATTGCCATTGACCCTTAAATTCTCTAGGGGAATAGGGAAGCAATAACAAACTCAAGAGCACTGGTTTAGAACACAGACCACCTGAGGTCCAGTCTCTGTCTGCCACAGGACTGTGAGTGACTCTAACCTTTCCAGAATTCATCTGATCTATTGAGACTGGGATTAGTTGATCCATGGCAGACCAAGTGCTTTACTTTGATGAAAAAAAAAAGTTTCTATATTCATTGGTTAGCAAATTTGCTGCTTCTTTATAAATAAATGCTGTTTGTTACTCAGGAAGCTTATATTTTTTCTTTATTTTTTATTATTTATTATTTATTTATTATTTTATTATTTATTTTTTTATTATTTATTTTTTATTTTTTTAAAGATTTTATTTATTTATTTGAAAGAGAGTGAGAGACAGAGAGCACGAGAGGGAAGAGGGTCAGAGGGAGAAGCAGACTCCCCGCTGAGCAGGGAGCCCGATGTGGGACTCGATCCCAGGACTCCAGGATCATGACCTGAGCCGAAGGCCGTCGCTTAACCAACTGAGCCACCCAGGCGCCCTAACTTCATATTACTTTAAAGTATTATATCCTTAAACTAAAGAAGAAGCTCTGTCTAGGAGGATAAGAAGAAGTTAAGGACTGAAACATAATCAGTAGCAAATTTATGAAATTGTGTTCCCTCAAAAAGTCTTCATGAAGTCAAATGTAAAATGGTATCCAAACAAACAAAAACAAAATACCATGAAGAAATCCCCAGAATAAAGCAAAACAAAATTTATTATTATTCTTTTGAGGGTAGTTAGGATTCTAAAACATTTTGCTTGCTTACTCTTTTTACCTCCGTTACAAAACCACAAGTCCTTAAATGTCCTTAGTGTGTGTGTGTGTGTGTAGGAATGGGGGTGGGATGGGAGACAAGAGGTTGGCAGAGAGGATAAAGAAGTTATTTATCTCTTTCTCATATCTCAGAAAGACATGATGACCCACCTATATTTGCTACTGCAGCAGTGAAGCATTTTTACCACAAGTCTGCAGAATTGAAGTATTTAAGACAAAACACAAGATAACGTGTTTCACGCTTAAAAGCATGATAGACTCTAGCTGACAGGTAAGGTGAGGTGAGGAGACTTAACACTCTGGAGTTTTAAATATCTCTGAAACAGTGTTTTGGCTGCAAAAATAACTCCAAAGGAACATGACCTGACCTAAAGTATAGGGACGAGTCTCTTATCTGAGCAATATAAGGTGTGGAGTCCTTTTAATAAAATCCAGCCCCGCATATACTATATAACCTCTGAACACCATGGCACCAACCCTGCGGTTCACTTCCTGTTTGGGATTCTTAAGTGCCCCGGGGAAGGAGGGGGAGCCTAAGGGCTCCCACTGTGCTTAACACAGTGGGGAAGGAGCAGCTTTGAGGTGTCATAGGATACAGACATCTTCTCTGGAATGATTACAAACACACTACTGTTTCTGGCAGAATTTTCAACATTGCAAATGAACTAGAATTCTACCACTGCATCTGTTTACATATGCATTCATAAATTATTTATTACATACTTACCTTGGGTTAGGATACAGCCCTTAAAAAGGTAATAACCCTGCCTTCATGGAGCTTTCATTCTTGAGAGGGAGATTGATAATACTGAAACAACAAACAGAAGCATTGTTTCAGAGAGTGATGAGTGCTGTGAAGAAAAGCAAGGTCCAGTCTTTACAGAGGAGATTGTGGCTATTTTCCGTTGTGTGGTCAGGGAAAGGCTCTCTGCAGAGGTGACATTTGAGTTGAGACCTAGAGGACAAGAAGATACCAGCAGGCAAATTACCAGGCAGAAGGAATCATTCTTGCGCAAGGAACATGCAAGAGGGATGTTTAACAATGCTGGATAGAACTTGCGGACTTCCAGGAACCGCAAGAAGGCCTCTGTGGCCAAAGCTTCGTTAGCACGTGTAGAGGAGGATCCAGAATTAGACCAGGAGTTTCGCTTTTATTTTAACTGCGATTGGTATCCATTGCAGGTTTTAAAGATGGAATGGAAATGGGGTGATTTAATACAGTTGACATTTAAAAATATAATATCGCACTTCGATTTCACTTCTTTAAAACCTAATTTCTCATTCCGTACAGGTCAAACGACACCCCAGCCGTCCCTCTTTGCCCAGGCTGTATGCGGTCGCCGCCGGCTTGTTTGCACCCGACGTCCTCCTTTGACAGCCCCAGAGGAGTGTGTGACAGTTGGCAGGCGCAGTGAGGCACAGCCAGAGCCAAGTCGCTGCAGGGGCCAGGGCTGCGGGAGGGGAGGAAGGGAAGGAGGCTGTGGCGGCACGCTGGGAGGGCCGAGGCTTTCACTGCGAGCGTAGCGGCGGCGCCCACTTCGAACAAGAATAAGGAAACGGGCCCCTACGAACCCGGGGTCCCTGGGGCCCTGGTTGTTCCATCCCGAAGGTTCGCGGGGTAATGCCTGGATTTGACATTGAAAACAATGCTGGCTCGCGGTTGGAGGCAACGGCGCGAGTAGAGGAGGCAGGAGCAACTTAGAGACTTTCCACTTCAACTCGGTAGCTTCGCCTGGCCTGGCCACGGGCCCCTGCGGCTGCACCCACTGGAGCCGCAGGTGTTGATTTAAAGCTCGGCTTCAGCAGGCCTTCTGCTCATATATCGCGACGCCCGCACCCCCGGCAAATCCAGCTCCAGGTTTTGTGATCCGCTTGCATGTAGAGGCCGCACCCTGAACTGCCCTCTGTAGGATTGGAACCTGGGCATCTGGGGCCCTGCGGGGGTCCCCGCCCTCCCATCAGTCTCCTGGCCTCCGACTGGTAGGGACCACTCTGGTGTGGGTGGGCAGCCCTTCCGGGATGACCCACAGCACCTGCTCCCTCTGGCCTTGGTGAAGTGAGCAATCCGGAGCCAGTCTCCGCAGGGAAACCGAAGCTTCGAATTCTGGGGAGCGACCTTCGCCCGGGGCGCCAGCTCTGCCTCCAGATCGCGGCCTCAGTGGCACCTCTCAGTGAGGCCTCCCTTCACCAAGCCGTCCGAATTAGCTATCCACTCACTCTCCATCACATCACCCTGATTTAATGCTCAGCGGGACATTTCTTTCAGTCTTGTGTACCTTCTATGTTTGTTTATTGTCCTGTCTCTGGAATGTCCACTACACCGGGCAATGGTCATTGTTTTGGGGTGCAGTATCGGGTTCCCGGCGCCTAGGACCCGGCCGGGCCGGGACGCAGTAGGCCGTCATATTTGCTGAATGACTGAATATTGTCCCCTGGTATTGAAGAGCCTGAGCGGCAGTTCTTCCTGGAGGGGCGTGGCTCTTCCAGGCCCCGCCCATTACCCCCCCTCCCCCGCTCCTCCCCTTCTTCGCCCCGGAGTCGGCCTCCGGCTGCGCGGTGTTTTTCCCTCTGGCCTCCCTCGTTCTTTCTGCAGCTGTTGCAAAAACCTGGAGCAGCGGAACCTCAGAGCGGCGGAGCGGCACCGCCCCTCTCGGCACCTCCCCGGCAGACCCTGGTGGCCGCGCTGGGCATGCTCAGTCGACAGGGCCGCTTCAGTTCTTGGAGTAGGAAGCTTGGGCGCTTCGGCTGTAAGGAACCGCGGCTGGGGGAAAATGGATCCCTTTACTAACGGTGAGTAGACAGGCAGAGGCGTCAGGTTTGGGACTCTCTGGGGCGCAGAGGGACGTTGGCCGTCGGGACACGCGGGGTCGAGCTGCAGTCGCCCCCACCGTGGGTTTCCCACGAGGGTTTGAGGGCGGTGGAAGCGGACTGGGGGAGGCAGCTGGAGCCTGGGGGCGGGGGCGGGTCGAGGCCGGCTCAGGACAGGGGGCTGGTGTGAAGGTCAGTGCCACTGTCTCCGAGGGCCTGGGGGCGTCGGGTGCCTCCAGACCCGAAGCTGCGCTGCGTGGCCAGGTGGGCGAACAGCAAAGTTTGGGCTGCTTTGCGCAGAGGAGGGGAAAGTTGGCCTTCTGGGTTTTCCCCTGGAGAAGGTGGTGTCCGCCAAGGCTCTTCTGGCAGGAAGGGTTAAGCCTCGGCCACTGCCAAACCAAACTTGTGTGGTGCGCAGGGAGCTGTCCCCCCTTGTCCTTCCTCGAGTTGCCTGCGTGACTTTTCCTAATGGGGCGGGGGGGGGGTGCTTGGCAGGTTAATTTAGTGGAAGGAAGGGAAACTTGCAGAAAGGCTTGCTTGGTCCTGCTCTGCCGAGGAGGTGCCTGCCCGCATTGTCACCCTCCTGTCTGTTGGTGAGGCACTCTGCAGGGCGTTCAAGCTTCCTTTCACGGGCCCCCGATAATACCAGTTTTTTAGTCTAAGACTCATTAACTATCAGGGGTCCGTCATGGTGATATCAAAATGTGACATGAGGCGAGAGTCAAAAGCAGGAGCCTGCAGGATGCCCTGCAAACAGCCACAGCTCTTTACAGAATGGACAGAATAAATCCCACCGTAGTTAAAACCGATGGCTTTTGTTTGGACCAGAAGTGCCAGAGTCACAATACAGGGGTGAGATGTCTTACCATTTTGTGGCATTGAGTATATGGATTTCCTTTTGGGACAGAAAGTAGGAAGAATGCCAGTAAGGGAGAATTCACACTAAAATTAGACGATTCACTCTGTAGTTGACATATGTGTTTTCTTGCGGGTGGTTGGTTACTTCAGGTAGACAGTTTGTCGCATTAATAGAAGCCAGCATCTACTCCCGTTTAGGTGGGTCACTTGCCTCAAGAGATAGAGACATTGCCCACTATATCCCAAATCCTAGCCAGACTTTGTTTTATACTGTTCGTTCATAGGACTGCAGATTACTCATTATGTTCTCCCTATCCCTAATTCAGAATGCTTTATTCTACTGCTGTCTCCCTGTCTGTACTGTCTAATTAGGCTTAATGATGGCAACTTTAATTCTGAATTTTCTTTCTCATTCAGGTTCTATTTGTAATTTCTAAGGCTCTAAGAATAGTGGGGTAAAGTTACTAAGAGAATTAAGGAATACTGGAGCTGAAAGTAAACTTAGAGACCATCTAGTATTTTAAGTGTAAAATATGTTTAATACAAATCATTAAATCCTTTCAAATGAATATTCCAAGGCTTTGTCCTTGTCCTAGGTAGAATATCTAGAGCTTCCATGTTTGTAGGATTTTAAATGTGAACTTTCACTTAAAAAAAATTCCTCACAAGGCTGAGTCACCGATTTGGTCAAGACTAGTGCTAGTTGATTTGGCAGACCTGTGCCTACAGAATTAAAATACATTCTCAGATCCTCCAACTGGGGTCTTTTCTCCCTTCTTAAAATATGTTCCTCTAGATGTTAATATTAATATTTGCAGATTGTCACATTTGAGAGGATGATGGACAAGTCCCAGAGAGGTAACAAAGAGGGAGGAATGCTTCAACTTCTATGCAGGAAATTGGATTTTTAATCCTTTTCCTGTCTTCCAGATTTTCAGAATCTGCTGGAAACAGTTTGACAGTGCATCATTTTAGTTAATGTGTTAATCACTTGTTGAAGGCTTATCGAAGTGTCCTTTAACAAGGAACTAGAAATACAACATCTAAAGTCAACCAAAAATTAGCTCCTAGCATCTTGAGGTGCTTTTTAGGTTTAAGGCTATTTATTTCAGACCTTTTGAAGGATAGCTGTAGAATTTTTCTAGTGTCTTTAAACAGGACTTGTTTAAGTATGTTTATCTTTGTACTTAATCCTATTGAGTACAAAGGATACGTACAGCTAATTCTTCTCCCCTAGGTCTGAGTGTTTTGATGCAGAGTATTTCATTATCCCTAGAATTTATAATTACAGGATTTATCAAGCTTGATCTTGGCTTTTGTTGCACATTCAGCCTCTTCTAGTAGAATCTTCACCACGTACACTTTCTTATATATCCCTGCTTATAGAGAGGTGTGAGAGCTTAGCAAAACCAGTTTCAGCAATTCAGAACCACTTGTCTTTCAATTAAAATGTTGTCAGTGGTTTCACGCTCTGATCTAGAAATTTGTAAAGGAGGCAGATTTAGTTTCTGTTTTGTCATTTTTGACTTTCAGTACTCATCTTTTCCAGGAGGGCTTTCTGTGCTTTCCCTGTTTTCCATCAAAACTTGCGGCTCCTATGGCTCATTTGTCTTGGGCCCTCCCTGCTCTCTGCCTGCTGATAATGGGTTCATTTGTTGAATATCCTGTGTTAATCTGTCCAGGTAACATACTGCTTCAACCTATTTAATATGTGTATCTCCAGAAAGGGTTCTAAGAAGGGACCTTAGTGCCAGCAATTCACATTTGGCTCAGGAGGTATTTTTTGATCTTGCCCTTGGGAGGGGACTGCTGACTGTTACACAGCGGACTATATCCAGTCTGGCTTTGGATTCTTGGTGACTTTTTTATGGGGAGAAAGATGTGCTCACTAGTACTCAAGATTGGTTTGCCAGTAACTGTTATGTCCTGTTAGGCAGTTAGAGGTGAAACTCTTAGAAAATAGTCATTTATATATTACAAAAAAAAAAAAACCCAAAAAAAACCCAAAACAACCAAAACCAAAAAATTGATGGCAACTCCCTAGATGTTTTGATAGATGTACTAGATTAGGGCAAGTAGTTATCTGATGACTTTATTTCTCTTTATTTCTTTATTTCTTCTCCTTTACATGCAGGATTAGGGTATTTGAGAATAATTTAAATTCACATTAAGGACTGTAAATGCCAAGGAAATTGGCATACACTTACAAATCTAAGACTGAGGTCTTAGAATCTGATCAAGGAGTTCTGAGGTTAGGGCTAGAAAAATGTGGGACTTCATTTTGAGGATACCAGAAGTATTCACCAGAAGGGAGCTTTTGAGAACTTTATTAGGTCAGCAAATTCAGGATTTGGAAGCATATTGATGGAGAAGGACTTTTTTCCCTGATACATACATATAGTCACATATATTCATCATTTTTTTCTTATGAACAAAGTTCCCGGGAATCACTTTAGTACTACTGCCTGGTATATAACCAAACAAGGGGGATTTACCTGTCTTACAAACTATCTTTGTTTTTGTTTTCAGATTGACATCCAATTGGAAGTATTACCCAGCTTCCAAAATAGGAAGTCTGGAGAACAAATTTGATATTCATGGGTTGTAAGGCAGTATCAAATTGTGATTTCATCTTTTGATCTTACAAATAACAGTTGTCCTATAGCTATGCATTTCTCTTTTTAAAAAAAATAGCATCATCAGTCAAAAATAATGAGCTTACCCCAGTTTGTTTATTTATATATATATATTAACATTTCTTTTGTTCTATGATAAATGACCACATTGAAAGAAAATCCTTAAAATGGAAGATCATTGTTGCTCTGTGTAATGGAATATAAGTAAAAATATGTTTTTATCCTTCTGTCTTGAGTTTTCTATTTCAGTTAAGTGAAATAGGACTGTATAGAAATCAGATGTTAACGTCATTTAATTTTCTAAGGTTGAGGCTGTAATTAGAAACTATCCAGTTTTTAAGGAAAGCAGTGCGGGGGAAAGTCCTTTGCTTTGCATAACAATTTCCAAAAAAGTGTGTCTTGAGACAAACAGCGTATTTTAGGAACGATTAAAATCAGTGATTTTTTTTTAAAGATTTTATTTATTTATTTGAAAGAGAGAGAGAAAGAGCACGAGCAGGGGGAGGGGCAGGCAGAGGGAGAAGCAGGCTCCCCACAGAGCAGGGAGCCTGACAGGGTGCTCCATCCCAGGACTCTGGGATCCTGACCTGAGCCGAAGGCAGACGCTTAACCAACTGAGCCATCCAGGCATGCCTAAAATCAGTGATTATCACTTATCTATAGATGATCCTTGAGAGACGTAAGATACATAACCAGAAAGATTGGTTATAAGGAAATTATCATACAGAAAATTAGCCAGGGGTGATTTCCTCTTCAGTAATTCATTCAAGCACTGTCTTTTGAATGCCCACTTACAACTAGACTTTCTGCTGGACACATTTGCAGGAAACCCACAAACCTGTCAGCAGATAATGCCGACCTAAGTAAGAGAAATTAAATGGAAAAATCGAGTTTTGTTTTCATGCTAATATAAAACTAAGAAATATAGTAGAAACAAAAAAAGCAATAAAACTTTAAGATAGTTTTCTAATTGTGAAATAAATGTACAATTGTCTTTATAACCTGTCTTTATAACCTGTTCATGTAACATCTGTCACCAGTAAGTTCACATTTGTAATGATTCAGTGTAATACTTCTGTTAGGAAACAACAGCATTCTGAACCCTCTCTGTGAAAGTATTAGGAAATTGAGATATGAAGGAATTTTGCCAAGGTTACTCCTGAAGTTGTGATGGAGCTGGATTAGGCCCATGGCTCTTGGCAGTTGAGGTTAGGACAGTGTCACTGTGTTCTGTCAGTTAGTTACCTCATGTCTTAAAAACTGTAGGAGGTTGGAACTAGAGCTAATAATACTAGTAGATCTTTCCATAATATTATTGGAGCAACGAGAGAAAGTCTTTTTTTTTTTTTTTAATTTGAATCCCTAGATATGTACATTTTCTGAGTGTTCACAAGAAACCAGGATTGGGAATCAAGGCAAATTTTGGAGGTTTTGTAGTGGTTCAGCAATTTGTATATCTAGTGGCCTTTGTAAAGAAAGCTGCTCTTT